GGCTGCAAGTCTGGGGCCGGCAAACCGGGGCCGCCCCGGCCCACCACCTCAGCATTGCTAAAAGCGAACCCTCCGCCGGAGGAGGAGACGAGAGGAACGCAGCCTGTCGGAAGCGGCAGCAGCGGTGGCTTAGGGGCTGGCAGATCAGTCTCCGCCGCAGGCCCATCACCTCCTGGCGGCGGCGGCTGCGACGGTAACGCTTCATCTCGCTCTTCGTCGTCGTCCTCAGACTCGTTCCGCTTCCGCACGTTCACGCGCCGCGCCTTGCGGAACATTCTTCTTCGACCAAACCGCCGCCGCTGCGGGAAGCTTTGAAGAAGAAGCGGGGAAAGGTAAGCGCGAAAAAGCAACTACCGCAACGGCTCCAAGAGCGCGCACGCCGCGACTCACTCCTCGCTCGCTCCCCGCCGCTGCAGCAAGAGCATCGTCACCGCCCAGAAGTCATCACAGCGCCCTCTACTGTACGCCGCCAGTTGACTCTTTTCCTCTGCCGTCATGGACAGAGGAAGAACATCCGACAGGACTGTACCGTCGAGTTCGCCTTGTGGATAGAGCGCCTCGCTATACCATAGACTGAGGCAACAGTCACCGCCGGGATGGTGGTTGAAGAAGTCGGCCATTTTGGGACTGAAAAAAAACGTAGGTGGGGAAATTAGAGGAAGGCCTGTGACGTGAGTGATCCCTTGGCAACGGATGTGGAAGGGCGGGAAAATGATCAATGTACAGAAATGTTCGAAAGAAAGGCGTTAGAATTTCTAAAGTGGAACGGGGGGGCGGCGGGGGCGTCAGATTAACGAAACGGGATGCGGCGGACGCCGCTGTTTCGAAGGGTGGCGAAGTTGCACTTGTGATCAATCACTCGTCTTACATTGTAACGAAATGAAGAAAACGACGGAGGTTTTCGCAATATCGTTTCGTTTAATGTGCTAAATAATTATAGTACATGCCTATTCCTTTCCGGGTAAGCAACAAGGGATTTTGCAAATCGCTGGGAACAAAATAGTAAGCAATAATAATTACTCCTTCTTTTTGGAGTATGCTAGAACACTAAAACCTTGGACTTCTGTTAGAACTGATAGAATTTGGGTTGGACTTCATTCTCATTTAAGAGAGTCATGTCCATTAAATCGAGGGTTTATCTGTTAAATCAAGTTTTTACTGCAAAAGTTGCTATGTACATCAATTTTGTAATATAAATGATCTAATTTCAGAATTAATGACATCTGCCCTTTTGAACAATCTGTTATATTAAAATTTTATTATACACCTCCTTGTGTTTCAGGACTTTTGTGGGGGAGTGCCTTTGAGTCAGTCTTGATTCCTAGTTACCTCCTGGACAAATCCATGTACTTTTCTCAGCGACATTTTCAGAAGTGTCTTGCCATTGCCTTCTTTAAAGTCACACAGTTGGCTTTATGCCCCAGACAGGACTAGAAATGGTCTAGCCCGGTGCCTTAACCACTCCACCTAATTGGCTCTTGTGTTTCAGGACTAGTACAATTTGTATTAGATTCTGCAATTTTGGGGTATCTTGTATAGGTCAGTGCACTGTATGTCTCTCCCAGTTGGGATGTGAGCAACAGCATCTTACCATGCAAAGAGTTTTTAGATTGCACAGTATAGTGTGAGCACACTTGGGGTAAAAATAGGCTTAGTTGTGTTTCTGTCATGCTGCCTAATGTGTGCCAAAACTGACTGGTATTGTGTCCTTAATGTTAGCAGGAAAAACCTCACTTGGCATGGGTATGACCAAGCCTGATAACCTAGTCTACTATGGTATTTTGAACAAGTTAAATAATACAGAAGCATTGTTGTGCTTTCAGTCAATAATAGGAAATCTGCATACAGTAATCCACTGTACAATACTTACTCCACCAATCTTTTCCATTACAAAGATTGGGTGAAACTGGAGCTTGCAATGCTGCTGTGTGAACCTGTTCGCTGGGCCTTTGGGAATGGTATTCAAAAGCACTTGTTCCTCTTTTCACCAGCTTGTGAAGCAGTGGACTCTGCTGTCTGAAAGTCCTTTGTCTGTGGTAAAAAATGTGAGATGATAGAATTGTTTAGCTACAAATGATGGGGAACACACTTTTGTCTTTTTCATAGAGTAATCATTCTTGAATATCAGGTAAAGAGTTTGTTTTCATTTAAAGGAATATTTAAAAACAACTTCACATACAGTAAGTTACAGTCCATTGTACTGCCTTATTCAACTCTGCACAATCTCTGGTTATTTGAACCATTTTAATCATTTAACTGTGTTCCTGTAACATATTGAATCATCAGCCAACCACACTGGCTGGGTATGCATAACACATTGAATCACAAACTAGTTGACCCCATTTAGGCTAGAATGTTTTGCAAATCCAGTCTCTGGGCATCTCTCCACTGCTGATAAAGTCGTATCCAACTCTCATTGTATTGGTACAAAACAATGTCATCACAACTTTGACTGTTTGCACTGCCAGTCCTCACATTGCCTGTGTTGTGACTGCCTGCCAGACTCTGATGTCCAGATGTGAGGGTACAGCAGTCATAGATAAGCAGATTAACTTTCTCTTTTGGTTAGGGTTGCCAGTCAGAGGGAGAACATCAAACAAAAGAGCAACGCAGTCTGAAGGGAATGGATCTGGCATTCTTGTGGAGTTCTGTAATTTTGATACTCCACATTGGCTCTTTAGTCTGCCTGTCCTCCTATATACCAATCAGGCATCTCCCAAGTTTATTATTCCACATTATTTTAATGTGGAATATAGAAACATATGAGAAAATGGGTCCCAGTCACAAATGTATATCTACAAACACTAAGCTAATTTAGCAGTGCCAAACACATTTTAATTTCAGCAAGTTATTCTGTTAGGTGCTATGAATGGATGGCTATGTACACGATGAAAGAGTACAGAAAAAATGAATGTTTTGAGATCCCAAAATGAATGATAATTGTATTTGTTTGCTGAATACTTAGGAAAAATATCCACTTGTTTCTATACATGGTTTATGAATACACCATGGCAAAGGAATGAATGTAAAAGCATGACTGCGTTAATTATTTGTGAAAAAGATTGAGAGAATTAATGAAAAATTCAAAGGTGATAGAAGGTTCTGAATGTGGGACAGACTGTTATTTGGTAATATCAAGAGTGGTTCTTGAAAAAAAAATGGAAAGAAAAGGCAG